TGTTGTCATGTTTGAAGACTGCCTTAGGTGTGATAACTGAAACAAAGATATTTCTGCAGTAGACTTTCGTTGGTATTTTCATTGTAATTCACACAAGAACTTATTTCTGTTATTTTTTAGATCCTGTGAGCAGGTGAACAGTTGATGTTGAAAATGTTGATACTTATTCTACACACTCATTACATATTAAAAATTTAATATTTCATTTTGTTAATATTTTATTTTCCTGTTAAGTACACACTTTAATATAATAAAACTCATAAAATTAAAATTAATAATTCATCAATAGAAATGCTCATTTTTGATCATTTGAAATAGGAAGAAAAGGTCCAAAGGGGTAGGGGAAGTGGGAGGGGAATGGGAGAGGAAAGAAAGGAAAGGGAAAATTATGAGAAAAGGAAAAAATGGAAACAAAGTCTTGGTAAATAGGGAATGGTGGAGGGGGTGAAAGGAGCACAGGGAATGGGGAAAAAATAAGAACCAAGATACATCATGTACAGGTACAAGCACCCAATGATAAATGTAAATGTACTGTATACCTAAAATGTACCCATAAAAGAATTTAAGTAAAAAAAATACTCTTTAAAAGTAAACATGGGCATTATACACCTCCATAATGGGGTATATAACCCCCAAATCTAAAAATTTGCCATGATGCTCGAGGGGCTACACAAAAAGGCTAGCTTTGGGGAAAAGGATGGTCCTCCAAGGTGCACTCTCCAAGGGAATCACAACTTTAGAGCCTACCTACAGCCTTGAAATAAAATTATCATAAACTCATTTGTTCTTACAACTTTTTTACTATGCCCAAATTTAACTATATACGGTCTTAATAACAGATAAACTTATCAAAAGAGGTAAAAACTTAAACAGATGCTAGGTAAAGATGACAGGTTGAGACAGCACAGTCAGATTGGTATAACCTGCTACCTTATCACAGGAAAACAATCAAATTTAGAATTTTAACACCCACCCTTGTGTTGTTTTCTAAGGGCAAAGGTAAGTGGTAAAATTCTGATGTTTCAATCTATTTAAAACTGGAAAACATTTTTTTAAATAGCTTCTTGGTCCATGAATTCTCCAATTATTTTGGTTATCTGATAGGAACTTAATATTCTTTGAAATGAATCAATCTTTATGTTCTCTCAACTTATTAAAAAAACTAATTACAGAGCTACTGATCCTAACATACTCAGGAAATAACATTCAAAGTGAAAGGTATTTCATAAGGACTTAGTGAATGCTCCACACCTAAAAAAAGACAACTTGTCCAGCTCCTTCAAGTATTTGACTCCAGTTGAATTAGTGAGACCCTCAATGAAGTGTATGTTTCTAATAATATACAAAAGAATTCGGAGAGCCTCAGAAAAAGAATGAAAAGTAACTCCCAGAAATTATATGGCTCACCCTAGTTGTCATACTTATGAGAAAAGAATTTGAATAACTTTAGCAACTTTAGTTTCTACCTAAAACTAAATAGACACATACCTAATAAGAAATGGCACACGCCTTGCATATAAAATTCAGATAAGAATGGAAATATTTTCAGATGTCTCCCAGACTTTGATAAAATGGCACCTGTTAAACTGTTGATGTTCAGGTAAAAGGAATGGGGAGAAATTCTCCAAGAGGGCAGTGCCCTTCTGTCTGACTCATAGGCAGCATTTGGAATGGAGTTTGGCACATGGAAGGCATGTGTATTAGCTAAATAAGTGAATAGGTTATACTGTACTTGTGTGTTTCTTTTTCTGTAGCACTGGGGGAAAGCCTATGTAGTACAATAGCCCTGGTGAAATCATACAGGATTTATGAGATCCTGGGAAACTTTGTGAAAAATCACTGCTCAAGATGATTCAATAGCTACTGTCAACAGTGCTACCACTCCTATGAGAAGCTGAAGCCTCTCATTATTAAGCCATTGTGTTTCATTCTCACATAGCTTATGGATCATCTCATGTTAATTACTGAGACAGTCAATTCTCCCACTCCAGTTCCTTTCCTTTTGATTGCTACTAATCTCACTATAATCTATTTTGTCACCAACATTGTTTTCAGCCAAGATAACCCAATAACTCCCAGTTGTCAAAATGACCCGATGACCTCTATATGATTCAATACCTCCAGTATTGAGATGGGAACTTCACATCTCAATATTATTCAACACAGGTAACTTATCCCAGTGTCTTCCCTGACCATGCTGTCACAGTTCCTCTCCCATTTGGACAGCTGCTTTAACTTTGCCAATTTCCTCTTTACCTATACTTGTACAATTCACATTCCGTCTAGTTTCTCCTTTGTCTTCCTATATCTACTTTCTAGGAAAGTTCATCTGCTCCAATGGCTTCATATCATTTCATCAATCTAATCAATATCAATCTTAATCTTCCCCACCCCCAGACATGCTCACACCCCCGCTCCCTTACCTTCATCCAGTCTTTCCCTGTGTTAATTCTGTCTCCTAATTTCCTCTGAAAACACCTACATCTCTCGGTTGCACTGGTGCCACCCTCCTTCATTTCTTTACTTTGTTATTTGAGGTTGATCCCAAGGACTCACTCAAGCTAAGTGTGCTCTGTCACTGAGGTATACCCCCAACTTGCCACCCTGCTTTAATTAGTCCTCTGGACTGATTTCCTTCTATCCACACATGCCTACTCTTACACCCCTCCAATCTAATTTTATCTTTTTAAATGTAACTTTAATTAAATTTTTATTTCATCACTGAATTTTTTTATGTCAGAGCTACCCAACAGCTTTCCCTCCTTTTTTCACATACATTCCATAGACCTTCACTGGGTCTAGAGAACTCTGACCAATGTCAACCTGAATTCCTACTCATATTTTTCTTAGGTGTTTCCTGTCCCATTATCTCTTATGAGGCTCTTCATAGATTCAATAATGACGAATAAGTCAGGACAACCTCAAGATATACATATTAGGAAAGGCCTTGAATTCATTCACACACATACATGCACAAAATACCTACTAATTTTCCAAATCAAATGATTTGTCATCTAAAGCTGGTCTTCATCATTCATATTTATCAAAAATTGTACTGAAATGTCTTTTATTACCATGAGGCTATGGTTTATCATATACTGATTCAAACCAAAAATTTTTATTCTTGTCAGAGATTGAAGCCACTAATTTTTTTTGCCCAAAATACACATTTTTTGTTTCCAAAGAAGATTTTAGAACAATAAAATATTATTCGATGTTCAATTTTTCAGTTTTAAATGGGTAAACAATTTTCTATAGTGGTAATATTAGTGATTATAAAGACAATTTTAAAGTGATTATTGATAATTTGGTGTTACAAATGTTCTTATGCTTCAAGAAGTTATCTCTTTAGAACCTAAAATGCTTTTACATATTTTGTCTCATTTACTTCTACTACTTATACAATGATTTTCATGGGTGGCACAATTCTTATTTGCTCTGTAGACCATGAAACCAAGATATGAGTTAAATTATTTACTCCTAATCTTATGCTAACTTTTTCAGGCAATTCCTATAATGACTTTATGCTGCTATTCTACACAGTGCTTAATTCAAAACAATGATAAATTCCAGGCATAAGATTTGGAGTGCTAGAGCTTGGAAGATCAAGATCATTCAGAATCCTTAATGACTCTATCTTTTGAATGATAGCATTTTAGTAGATTTAAAAATTACTGCTAATAAAAGTAGGATAGTTAAGACTATTGGCATTTTACAGTGAACATAAAGGGAAGGTGTTGTGATCAGGCAAACCATATTCAAAATACTGAGTATTTTGTTCACTGTGTGTCTAGTAAAAATAGATGATTTCATTAACTGGTGTCAGTTTTACTAATTCTGGATGCTTTGAAAGTGAGGGGGGAAATGCTGCATGATAGACAAGACTACTGGAAATAGATGACTTAGTAGTAATTAGTGAAGTGCACAGCAGAGACTCCTCCCTAGGGAAGTTACTACACTTCTATGCAGTTCCAAAGGTCCTTTTGGTGATTAGGACTCAGCATTTGCCAGACCATTCAGAAAAATTAGCAAAGACCTAGCACAAGAGGGTCCCAATTTTTATTGTGCCAAGTGAAGAGCTTTATTAAAAGAAAACACACTACACATACTAACATATACCTGTCATTTTTTCCAGAAAGAATATTATAACAACAGTAACAATAAAATCCTGGAAGTTCATAAAATCAGAATAAAAGCTAACATTCTAAATGAGTGATTTTAGTTTATATTTTTACTCTTATTTAGTTTATATTGTTTATTTATGTAGTTTATATTCTCATTTCACTGAAGTCCTGTAAAAACAGCTTTCCAAATGACACAAGGCCTGAGTTTAGTAATGGCATAAGGAACAATAATGTGGCCTCTGGCTACAGACTTGCTCAATCTAGGACTACTTCCTCTTCTGTTAAATATAAGTCACTCTGGTCCTTCACTGTCTCTTGCAGCTACCAAGCCAGAGCCCCGCTGAACAGCCCCAGTGAAAGAGCTACAAGACCTGCGTTCCTATGACCAGGGTGGAGTGTGGGGTCAGAGGCACAGCGGGCGCCGGCCCGGGCTGCCCCAACTACTCAGACCAGGCAGCTTTCCGCGAGGCACCTTCGCCCGGAGAAAAACATCTGGTCACCAGGCTGAGAATGTCCAAGTCGTGAAGCAGTCTGGTGCTTCAGGACTGCACAAAAGTGGAAACTTCTTTTTAAGAGTTCTGGCTAAGAGAGCTTGGAACTGCTGTTTCTAATACTATCACTCAAATCTGAAAATGTGCGACTCATACATTCCTAGACGCTGCAGAGATTAGGATTTCCCTAACAGGTGTTCTTGTTCTACCTAGCACCAAGTCGACTACGGACGGGGCTCACTGGCCGGGTCTGAACCCACACCCGTGCAAGGGACACCGCGGATCCAGGTGAAAATGTCGCCGCCGCCGCCAGGTGCTCCTCGCCGCTCGCCGCCCGCCACTGCGAGGCCGCCCGCGCCCGCACCTGCAGCTCCAGCTCACTCACCGGTGGCGCGTGCTGCGCCTCAGCACAGGTGACAGCCGCGGCCAGAAGGACGAAGGTGAGGCGACTTCGGCCCAACATCCTACCGGCAGCCAATGTGGCTCCTCCGCACTTCCTTAGAGGCTCCCAGAAGCTTCACCTGGGCGGCGAGAAAGCTGCGCCCCCGCGCGCTGCGTGACAGACGACCGGACCGCGCGACCGGACCACGCGAGGCACTAGGGGAGGAAGCGAGGAGCAGGCGCAGAACGGGCGTCGGCGCTCAAGCATTGGCCTTGCTGCCGCTCAGCGTCTCCCCCACGCTGCTCGAGCAGTGGTTGGGCCGAGCCTTAGTCCCTCCCTGGCGGGTGAGGTCACGTAAACTTCCACAGAGATTGCGCCCTGAGGAGGTTTGCTCACGCTGGACCGTGGCGACGTGGCGTGGGCAGGAGGGATCCTGGTGTCTCCCGGGCCGGGTCGGTAAACGGACCGGGAGGAGGTCCTCGGCAGAGCCTCTTGGCCGTGCTCACGAAACAGACTTACAGCCTCAAAACGTAATGTGATGATGCGTCCCTTTGCGCTCTGCGCAGAGCTGGCCCGAAGTGAGGCAGGTTATTCGTGGGGCCGAGGGGCCAGAAGCAGGTGTCGGAGGCCAGGGAGGGCGTTCTTCAGGTTGCGCATTACCCGCTTGGGCTTTCACGGCGCTGAGTTTACGCTTCCGTTTTACCCTTAGACACTGGGGAAAGGACCAGATGGACGCAGTGAACCTTCTTTCACTGACTTACCTGTGTTCCGGAGTTCAGCATCTGTGCCTGCGAGCCTAACTGGTAAAGGAATTTAGGTTGGTGGAGCTGAGTGGAACTGAGGAGGGCAGGCACTGGAGATCTGAGTATCCAGCTCCGAAAAGCAGGTAGAACTACGGAAGTACAGTACTTGCTAGGCTCTCGACCGATACCGGGACGAAGTCGTCTTGGTAAGGTGAGTTATCTCAAAGTCCTACAGAAAAGCTTGTCCAGTGACTTCCACTTTCTGGTTCAACCGCCCTAACATTCCAGTAACCAGCACTTTTTGGTGCTTCATTTAAACTCTGCATGCTGTCACAAAGGTCTGCCTCCACCCCGTGGCCCTGGGGAATCAATGTACCGTATTTCTTCTTTCTCGTGTGTGTGTGTGTGTGTGTGTGTGTGTGTGTGTGTGTGTGTGTGTGTGTGTAGGCTGGGAAATGAGAACTTGATGGTTTTATTCTCCCTAGATTTGGAAGATGGTAAATGACTTGTACACTTTTTACGGACGAAGTTTCACTTCTGAAGCATGCTTAAAACGCATTCAGGGCTGAGGATTTAGCTCAGCGGCACCGAACCTGCCTCTCAAGCACAAGGTCCTGAGTTCAATCACCGGTACCAAAACAAACAAAAACCGCATTCAGATTTCTGCTTCCACAGTAAGCAAACAGATAATAAAAATATTAACTGTTACAGTAGAGTGGCATGGTAGCGAGTATCTGCCATCTGTTACTCCAGAGGCTGAAGCAGGAAGAGCACTTGAGCCCAGGAGTTCAGGACCAGCCTGGGCAACATAGTGAAACTCAATCTTATTTTCAAAAAGTCACTATTAATTTTTAAACTTTTTTTCTTTGGACCTACCATGTGTCAGACATTTTTCTAAACAATGAAGATAAGCTAGAAATAAGAACAACAAAAAGAGAGCCAGGCGTGGTGGTGCACATCTGTAATCCCAGCACTCTGGAAGCCGAGGCAGGAGGATCATCGAAAGTTCCAGGCCTGCCTGGTCTACATAGTGAGTTCAAAGCCAGCCTGAACTACATAGGGAGACCCTGTCTCATAAAACCAACCAACCAACGAACCAACAAAAAAATTACTTTCTTCTTGAGACTTACGAAATGAGAAATGGACAATACATGTAATACATAAGAAAATTACATAAGATATTAGAAAGCAGTAGATGCTAGGGAGCGGATCATAGTAAAGGGAATACTGTGTGGAGATTGACAGTAGGGAGGGCTACAATTTTAAATAGCCTGGGCAGGACAGACATTATTGAAAAGAGGCAGTTTGAGCAGAAGGTAGTGAGGTAGTTAGTGTAGTGAATGCCCAGGAAATTGTATTCCAGACAGAAGGAGAAGCTGGTACAAAGGCTTAAAAGTGAGAATGTGACTTTATTTTTCAAAAAGCTAGAAAGAAGGATTTTAAAAGTTTGTTTTACCATAAAAAATGATAAATATTTGAGGAGATACATGTTTAACTTGATTTTTTAAATTTCTATTTTATTTTATTTCGAGACAGGGTCTTGCTATGTAGTTCAGGCTGCCTTAAACTCACTATGTAGCACAGCCTGGCCTCAAACTCACGGTGATCCTCCTGCCTCAGCCTCCCAAGTGGTGGGATTACAGCATGCACCACCATGCCCGGATAATTTGATTTTTTTAAAATGTTGTAAATTTGTTAAAAATTATTATTATGAAGTTCAGCAATTTTAGAACTTTCAAGCTCATTTCTCTGTGGAAACCAAAATTGAGGAAATAATTTATATTCATGTAAATAGGCTTTGAAAATAAAAGCACTTAGCATTCATATGACCAAAACAAAAGGGCCTTTAGCAAAAATTAAGTAAACCTGAATAAAGTATGGACTTTAATAATGTTTTGAAAATTGAGAATGTAATGGCATATTCAGGTACAGAAGGGAGCCGGTGAGGCTGGAGCAGAAGACACAAGGGGCAAAGAAATGGATGAAGTCAGAGAGATGAGAAAAGGAGAGATTTTAATAGAGCATTAAGAACCATTGGACCTTGGCTTTATTCTTGGAACATGTGTAATCCTGTGAGAGGGGTAGTGATTTTTTTCCCTGTTAGAGGATTGATGATTAGGTAATCTGGCAAAATCAGTTTTTTTTTCTTTTTTTTGCAGTATTGGGGATTAAAGCCAGAGCCTTCACACTGAGCTATATCCTCAGACCAGTTTTTTGTTTTTTGAGACAGCATCTCACTAAATTGCCCACGCTTGGGGTTGTACTTAGGATCTTCCTGCCTCAGCCTCCCAGTCACAATATTCAACTAAAATCAGAGTCTTTAGGCAGAAAAGGTATCAGCTGGCATATTCTTATGCACAACTTTATGCATACAACTTTCAGAGGCCTACTGTATACTGTTAATTCTCTTTTCAAACAAATTATAATTTAAATCTTCCCTGAAATTGAACCATTTTATGTAAATACTGTGCAGAAGCATCAAATTTTAGACTTGGATAACCTGTTTAGTATAGAAGACTCAGCATAAGTAATCAAATTGTTTATGGAAATAGCTGAAGTTCTTGTCAAGCTCTGCACTTCCTAATCTCCTCCCTAACATTCCTAGGTTCCTGAGGTGGAGCCTTGATTGAAAATCATTGCAACCTAATCACCCCACCCTGAATGAACTATATGGTATCTAATTCCACATTACCTAAAACAGGTATGGCTTGATTTATTACAACTTTTGTATACAAAACTTTGTACTAGACTGTCAAGAAATATAATGCTTCATTTTGAAAATAAACATTTTAAACATCAGTATTTATCAAATTAACATAAGCTTATTGTATATTTAAACATAACATAAGCTTTTGTATATTTAAAATGTATTCTGAATTTCAAAACAAATTTTTGTTCAGTTTTTTTAGGAAGGAACCCAGATATAAGAGATAAATATAAAATATAAGAGATAAGAAATATAAGAGATATAAGAAATGGAAAATCAGAGATCATATAAAATTATTACATGTTTCTTTTCTTCTTGTTGCTTTGTCCACACAAAGAAAATTACTTTATGTTTTTCTTTTAGATAGAAAAATATGATAAATCATTATCTTTAGCTTGAGGTATATACTAATACTTCTATTATAAAACTAAACCTTTGGTGCTGGCATTTACTCTTTTCTCAATATCAAAGTTATATTATCTTTCATTTTGCACTTATCCTTGTTTCTTTGTGATTTTTTAAAAGTTTTACTGAATCCCTAAAATTAGAATTTGAAGAGCTACTTTGAAAAGCCACTTTGAGCCACTTTTGTCCTATTTCCACTTTCCTTGATAAGACATATGGTTCTGACCAGAAAATTATTTTGTTCTCTTTGTGAAGCTGGAGATTGAATCCAGGTATCTTGTGCATGCTGGACACATGCTTTACCACTGAGCTATATCACCAGTTTTAGAAGGTTAATTTCAATTTGACTCAAATCCTATAATTTATAAATATTTTTGTTGTTCTTTGTATTTTAACATAATTGCATTTCACAGAAATGATTACAATTAACTATTTAATGCTCATACTGTTTCTAATATGTTTGCAGAAAATTCATTTATTCTTTCAATAAATATTTAGTACTTGGACTGAAAGTATAGCTCCATGGTAGGTCATATGCTTAGCATGCCCAAGGCCCTGGATTCACCAAAAAAGAAGAAAAAAAGAGCACTTAATGTAGGTGCTTGGTGAGTAGCATAATTCAAATGAATATTTTGAAAACTTCTGATATATTTAGTTCATTAGTCCAGATTCTACCCTTTGGTTAATTTTCATATTGTGGATGTTTCATCAACCTCAATTCCACTCCTCCATTACATGGCAGCTACATGATTTGGCCAATTTGTTTTTTTTTTTTTTGGTACTGGGGATTGAACTCGAGCCCTTGTGCTTGCAAGGCAGGCACCAGAACCACTGAGCTAAATCCCCAGCCCCGAAGCTACATGATTTGGATGAGACACGTCCTTGTCACTGGAAATTTAAAGTTACTTTGTCCTTCTTACCATAGTTCTTGGTTTAGCCCTTAGTGTGAATCAGATGCTTGAACAAAACAACCTGTGGTTTGAAGCTCAAGATTTTTTGCTCAGTAATTTAGGCAATTTTCCTTTCTCTTCTAATAGGAAAGAGGAAGTTAGTAGTCCCCACTGTTGCTGGTATTTGTGCCATAATCTTGAAGGGAGCCGCCTAAGATGAAATAGATACCGTGGACAGCACAGTTGAAAGATTGAAAGAAACTGGGTCATTGATAACATTGTTAAGATAGCTAGATCCACCAACCACAGAGCCTGTTCAGCAACTGGACTCTTCATTGACATGGGCCACTACTCTTCTGTATTAATGAAACCAGTTCAAGTTGCTTTGCTTGCAAGTTTAATTATTGTGTTGGAGAGCATCCTAACTGATATGTACAGATAAATCTAAGACTAGGTTCCTAAAAATAGGTATTTTTTCCCTTCCTATAGCAGAGGAGCATATACCATAGAGTTGTGAAGCTTGAATTTCAGTACCTTTACTTGTTTAGGACCCTTGTTAGCCTTCTACCAAATTTTACACTTGTAATTTTGTATTCTTTAAAGAGTACCACCCAACTTGTATAAGCTTTAGGCTTCACAAAACCTGTGAGATGATTTGGGGAGAAAACTTCGCCTTTCTCTCCAGTCCCTTCCATTCATGTCTTCCTAGGAGAGGAATGACTTATCTAATTGGTAAATAGCTGAAAGGTTTACAACCCATGTGTGGCCTGGTCTCTCTTGACTCTCATTCATATCTGCCTGCCACAGTGGTAGGCTCACTGCAGCCATCCCTGGATGACACAATGTAAACAAGCAGTTGCTGCCATTGACCTCTTCTTACCAAACTGTCAGCCTCCTGTACATTTGAAAAACAATGTATTAATACGATAGTTGTGAAAATCGTGAAGAAAGAACTCTGAAAAGGAAGCTTTGGGAGACATAGAGAACAAGTAGTCAAGGATTAGAGCCTTCTGTATTATCATCCCTAGCCATCAGTGGTGCAGGTGCTGACCCATCCCTCTCCAATTTGCCCTCAGTTTCCAGTATTTTCCCTCAATTGTCTGTGCTCCTGGGATGCAGTTTGCACCTGTCAAGTGACTGCACAGATTAATTCCAGAGGATGATGAATTAGAATCCCATTTTGACCCCGGGTCCAAGCTGTTTACACTATTTCAACGTAATCAGCAACAGTGGTGATAATGAGCACGTCTAATGCCTGTGAATATTTGTTTCTCAACTCAGAAAGGTGAAGAGTATGATGATCACCCTGAAATAAAAACAGAAGGAGCCAAAAATAGCAATGATATATGTATAGAAATGCTGAATGACCATTAAATACAAAGCAGACCACTAGGTGCTATGAAAGGTACATATGCAATCACACAGTAACTCCAGATCTCAGGGATTTTGCATCTACAAAGGATATAACACACATCCTTACTTATGAAGGTAACTCCAGTTCAAACATTTTACATATATTCAGTTATATTAGCTTGAATGTATGGAATTGGCATTTTTGGAGGCACAGAGTATTTGAATGTCAGCATTTTCATATGGCCAACCTGATGTTACCAGCATTCAAAGTATTGATGATTACAGATGTTCCTTGACTTCTGATGGGGTTACGTCTTGATAAATACATCTTAAATTGAAAATACCACAGATCAAAAATGCATTTAACACATCTACCTTACCAAACACCATAGCTTAACAATATAGTGCCCTTTAGGGTACTGATTGCCTCCTTCTGTGATCATATGGCTGACTGGGAGCTGTGGCTCGATGCCACTGCCTACCCATCTTGGGATGCTAGCCTAGGACAAGATCAAAATTCCACATTCAAAGTAAGCATTCTGCTGCATGTGCATCACTTTCACACTATAGTAGAGTCAAGAATTCTTAAGTCAAACTTTCCTAAGGGCTGTCAGTTGTTGACCTGAATCTGGTGCCACTGCATTGCAGTTAGCATCTGTAGACCTCTGACATTACTTGCTTCCTGTCACACTTTGAAAGTTTTCACACTTGGCTGTCACTTTTTCTGATATAATTTATGTGAACATTTTTGGTGATTTCAAAATCCACAAAAACAATCTGTCTGTCTGTCTGTCTGTCTTTCTTTCTGACAGTCTTTCTAATATTCTGGTTTCTTGGCATTTTCTCTTACAATACTCTTGGCCTCCTTTACATTAAATATCCAATTCTGTGGTCATCGCTCTTTTTTTTTTTTAGTACTGGGGAATTATAGCTAGCCTTGCAAATGCTAGGCAAGCACTCTAGTACTGGGCAATATCCCCAGCAATGAGATCATATCTTTAACATTGGAACATCTACTTCCTCTTGCTTCTGGGATATCACTGCCTTTTGATTCTTTTCTGACTCACTGGGCACATTCTGAATATACTCTGTTGTTTTCTTCTCATCAGCTGACCTGTATATGTAGAAGTACTCAGAGCTTGGTCTTCAAATGTCTTTTCTTCTTTACATATACTTATCCTTTCTATGATCGCATCCAATCGCATGGCCTTCGTGCTCTCTGAATATTGATGACTGTTATGGTTTAATGCTTCTCCTCTAAAATGTAGGTGTTGCCAATTTGATATTATTAAGAGGTGACCTTTAATAGGTGGCTTCACCTAGCTTTTGGCCTCTTTTACCCTTCTGCTTTCTCTGATTCGAGGATGCAGTATGAAGGCCAGAAACTTGATCTTGAACTTCCCAATCTCTAGAACTGTGAGAAAATAAATTAAAAAAAAATTATCCATTCTCAATACTTTGTCATTATATGGTATTGGGGATTGAAGAGCCCTTATAGTGAGCTACATCTCCAGCACTTTTTGATGTTTTATTTTGACATGGTCTCACTATATCACTAAGTTACCCAGGCTGGGGTCAAACTTGTGATCTTCCTGTCTAAGTCTCCCAGAGTGCTGAGATTACAGGCATTTGCTACCACCCCAAGCTGATTTTTCTCTTTCTTACCACATTCTCACTATATCAGCAAATCCTATTGGTTTTACCTTCAATATATGCGGAGTCCAATCACTTCTCACCACATCTACTTTGCCTTAGCTCAGGTTATTCTCATCTTGATTACTCCATTTTTTTCCCATCATCCATTAAATCTCCATGTAGACCATGCCACTCTTCTCAGAACTGTCTGGTGACTTCCTATCTTACTAAAAATGAAAGCCAGTGTTCTTACTGTGGCCTGTAAGACCACTTAAGTCTGGTTAGCCTCCTGTTACCTGTCTGATCTCATGCCCTACAAGTTTCTCTTTTTCTCATGATAGTTCATCCAAATAGGCCTTCTTTCTAAACTTCAGACATGCTAAGAATGTTTCACATCAGGAACTTAGCACTTACTGTTCCATGATGAATTGTTCTTTCCACATATATATGTGGATCACTCAAATGTTCAAATAAATCCTTCTAAGGGACTTCTTCCTACAGCTTCACATGTAAGATAGTACTCTGTGGGTACTCCCTATCCCTACCTCACTTGACCTGACTGCAGATGTTATCACTACCTGATGTAATACATATTCTCCTTTTTATTTTTTAGCATGAGTCTTCCTCTAACCAGAAGACAAACTCCATAAGAGCAAGACTTTGCTTTATTTACTACTATATTCTCAGTGATGTTTGACATGGTTTAGCATGATGTTGGCATGGTCAGTGAATATTTGTTGGTTAAATGAATTAACTAAAATAACTGCATTAACATATACCACATGATATCTAAAATAATAAAGAATTACCAAATTATAATTGGATTGTTTTCCAGAAGTTTTAAAGTTGGCCGTTTGGAGAATATATGTATAAATATATTCCCTACAAAGAGGAAGTGCTGTTATCCTCACGGGGAGAAATATGAGACTTATGCTAAGTACTTCTACCTAGGTTTCCTGATTCTGAGGTGTGTACACCTCACCACTACAATAAATTTCCAGATCAGATCACAAAATATTATGTAAGTCATATAACTCATTTAAGGTGGTATATTAAAAGGAAGGATGAAAATGGAAGATACCCATCTTATGTGCAATTAGCTATATCTAGACTTCAGGTGCTCTTCCTAGCTTTCTAGATTTTGCAGCCAATTACATTTGTTCTTCTCTTTCATCAACCTATCTCTTCCTATTTCCCCCTTACAGAAACACACACACACACACATAAACTTTGATTCTATGATCAGTTACTCACCTGCCACTACGATAAGTGTTTTTGCCTCCTGTCCTCCCACTCCCCTTTACTTTTCCCTGTTCTGTAAAAACACAATCCTGGATACATACAGCTATCTGTATCTTCCACATATCTGGATCTGGACTGCTGTATTAGGAAAGGATTTTCTAAACAAAACCTCGATGACACAAGAAATAGAAGCAAAAATCAACAAATGGGATTATATCAGACTAAAAAGCTTCTGTACAGCAGAAGAATCAGTCAGAGTGAAGAGACAACCTACAGAATGGGAAAAAATGTTGCCAGCTACTCCTCAGACAGAGGACTAATATCTAGAATATACAAAGAACTCAAAAAAAATTAAACCACCTAAAATTAAAGTCCCAGTCCAGAAATGAGCAAGAGAAATGAACAGATACTTCACAGAGGAAGAAATACAAATAGTCAACAGATATATGAAAAAATGTTCAACATCTGTGGCCACTAGAGAAATACAAATTAAAACAACCCCAAGATTCCATCTTATTCCAGAAGAATGGCAACCATTCGGAAATCAAATAGTAGCAAATGCTGGTGTGGCTGTGGTGAAAAAGGAACCCTCCATTGTTGGTGGGAATGTAAACTAGTACAAACATTATGGAAATCGGTATGGAGATTTCTTAAAGAACTGAAATTAGAAATCTCATACAACCCAGCTATTCCCCGGCTAGGTATCTTTCCCACAGAGCATAAGGCATCATACTACAGCAATACTTGGGTACCAATATTTATAGCAGCACAATTCATAATAGCTCAATCCTGGAAGCAGTCTGTATACCCATAACCATAGGATTGGATAAACAACATGTGGTATCTATATATAATAGAATACTACTTGGCTATAAAGAATGACACATTTGAGACATTTGTAGCAAAATGTATGCACCTGGAAAATGAAATATTGAGTGAAATAAATCAGATACACAAGCTTAAATATCATCTGGTATCTCTCATTTAAGTAAGGCAAAGTACAAACAAAGAAAAGGATATAGGATGGATAGAAAGGACAAGGGGGTGGATCTTTTGCAATAGAGAAATGATCCAAGAGAACAATGGTGAGGGGTGAGGAAGAAGGGAAGGGGAAATAAGAATAGAGATATACTATGTACAGGAACCTAATAACCCCAATTAATGTCATATGCCATAACATGAGCTAAGACAAATAATATCAACAAGTATAAAAAAGGGGATAGGGGAACCAATGGAGAAAAGGGGAAGGGGATTTAAAAAAAAGTAGCCATAATATGTACATGTAACCACCCTGAAGATGATTGTAAATTGCTTGAATTGCAAATATGTACTAATAAAAAATAAATAAAATTTTTAAAAATTCATGACAGTCTGATGGACCCTCAATACTATGTAACAAATTCATGGTTCTCATGTACATTATCTCTCTTTTCCAAAATATCTCAAAATTCTGATCTATTGTTTCTTCCATTGCCCTTAGATTGCTTTATTTTCTTTATGGAGAAAATATAAATTTCACAAGGAAATTACCTCAGCCCTCTGCCACCAAATCTATGTACATCTGTTCTTTTCCTTTTCTACTTCTCTCCTGCTATTGTGGAGGAGTTGTTTCTATGTATACACTCGCTTACCTACCTACCTATCTTTTATGGTATTGGGGATTAAATCCAGGACCTTCACACTGAGGTACATCACAGCCATTTTTAAAATTTATTTTGAGACAGTTTTGCCAAGTCCATAAGTTTCACAGATTGGACTCAGACTTGCAGACCTCCTATCTCAGCTACCAAGTGCTGAGCTTACAGGCATGCACCACTATGCCTGGGTGCTCCTTCTCTCTAAATTCAGTCCCACTGTATTTTGGCTTCCAGTCTGTACTTCCTTTTTAGGAATACCATTACAGATTATGGCTTTTTTTCTCCTACATCTTCAACCTCTTCTTGTATTTTCTTGGCACTAGCACTTAAACATAAACATATCTCTCTTAGGTTAAGAAAAGTCTCCACTGGATCCTGTTACTAACCTCACTCTCCCGCATACATAGCCAAAATCCTCAAAAGAGAAGTACACAGGAAGTTCCCAAACACTGATCCATGGACTGGTGTGAGATCACTGGGAGGTTTTTATGTGTCAGTGTTAAAGAAGAAACAGATAAATTAATGTTGTCTGTGTCTATCCATACAGTATATTATAGATAAATGAGTCACATTAAGGTTACCAAGTGCCTTCTAAAGACTGCCCTTTATTCTTTCTTTTTACTTTTAAAAATTTAATGTTTTTTTAAAAATGATAGAACTAGTAAATAGAATATGCTTTGCAAAATAAAAACTTGCTGACTCTGAATATAATACCAAAATTCTTGGCATTTATTGGTCTTTAAAAGTATCTACTCCAATGCTCAAATTAGAAACTTAAGAGTTGCCCCAACTCCTTTTTTCCTTTATCTCCTACATTTAACCTTAATGGTTAAGACAGTTAATTATGTTTTGAACAATTCTGTCATCTTCTGTCCATCCTCACTGCCAACACCCTGGTCCAAGTATCATAATTTCTTGCCTCCACCAGTGCAATGAATTCTTACCTAGACTCATAGTTTTCTCTCACTCTTTCCCAAAACGTCCTCTAAATTGCAACCATAATGACCTTTTAAAATGCAGATTTAGTAATATCTCTTCTTTGCTCCTATTGGTCTCTTATTAACCTTATTACTATCAAGATCAGAATTTAAAATATGCTTCAAAAGCTTATTTGCCTCTGACTTCCTCTCTGGCTTTGTTGCTTTGTCCCTTAATCATTCCCTTCTAGCCAAAAAAAAGCAGTTCCTCCAAAACATCCTGCCCCCTCCTATCTCAGTACTCCTGCTCATGAGATTCCTGTGTGTGGAATATTTTCTCTCATGCCAGTCGTTACACATGTAACTCCTACTCATTCCTCACAGTTCCCCTTGACATACGTCCTCTTTAGAGAAGCCTTCCCTGACCTACATCTCTCCAAACCAACCTGTTCACTCTATTAACCAAACCTCAATATCATTGCCAGTAATTTACAAAATTATTTCCTTAATCATTTATGAATTGTTTGATGTCTGCTTTCTTAATCTGTAAACCTATCAAGACAAAGATCATATCTATGTCATTTATCACTGTATCTGCAATATCTAGCACAATGCCCAACAGTTTGGATACGTAATAAGTATATGATGATCAACTAAATGACTATTTATAGAGCTGAGTAAACTAACCTCTGTAAATAAAAATGCTTAGTGGTGAAAAAGCATTCAGCTTCTAACCTGGATTCTAAAAAAAACCCTCCTCCTTTCATTATTTCTTTCTCCTTCTTCCTCTCTCTATACACAAAATGACAGTAACACTATTGAGCCCATACATAGGAAGTCTCCACTGTGATAGGCATTAGAAGAAGTGTGGATTTGAGAATAAGGATAGGGTCAAGGACCAAGGGGTGAGACACCTTGGAGATAAGGTGGTGATAAGTGAGTGTCCAGTAAGTTGTCATTAGGTCACTGGGGACAAGTCCTCAGAAGGGACTGATGTAATTGTCCTGGGTCTCTAGTCTTTCTCTGGCTTCTTGTATCACTATGTGACCTCTTCTCCTTTCACACATCCTCTCCATTGTGATGCCATCCACCATGAGGCCTTCATCAGAGCCAAGCTGATGCCACCACAATGCTCTCGAGTCTTCAGAACTGAGAGCTAAATAAACCCCTTTATAAACTGTCCAGCATCAGGAAATACAGTAACAAAGACTAATTCAAAAATATTACAAATATCTTTTCCAACTGCAGATTAAATTCTCATTCCCTCATTTTGCCTTTCTTTTAAATAAAATCTATTAAAAAGTTTTGCACACACAAAAACCTATGTATTAATATATACAGTATGAATCAGGGGTAAGTATATAGTACTTACAAAACAGTCACTATAATCTATATCATAAATCTCTTTGTCACCTTCAGAATTTTCTCCTTGGCCTTTTTTATTTGTGTGTGATAAGAAAACATAAGATTTACCATTCTAGTGAATTTTTCAGTATAAAATACAGCATTTTTAACTATAAGCATTGTTTTATAGCAGATGTCTAGGACTTATTTATCATGTTCAACTGGATCATTGTACCCTTTGAATAATACCTTCTCATTTCTTTCCCCTTCTCCCAGAAACTTCCATTCTACTTTGCTTCCATGAATTTGACTTTTTTACATTTATCATATAAATGGTTTCATATATCATTTGTCCTTGTGTATCCAGTTTATTTCACTTGGTATAATACACTTCAGGCTCAGCCATGTTATAGAAAATATGCAGTACTTCATGTTTTGTTTGTTATGACTTCATTAGGATCAATAATATTTCATTGTTGGTATATACCCCACATTTTCTTTATCCGTTATATGTCAATGGGAATTTAGGTTGCTTCTGTGTCATGGCAATTGTGAATAATGCTGTAAAACATGGGAATAAAGATAATCTCTTTGAGATCCTTTTGATTCCTTTAAATATATACCTACGAATCAGATTACTGAATTATATATAGTTCTAGTTTTAGTTTTGTGAGGAATAAGTATTGCTGTACCAATTTCTATCCCCACCCACCAATAGTGTACTAGAGATCCCTTTTTTCCACATCCCCACCAACATTTGCTACCTGGTTTTTGTTTTGTTTTATTTTGTTTTTTGTCAAAGCTACCCTAACAGGTATGATCTGTGTCTCATTATAGTTTTAATTTGCATTTCCTTAATGATTAGTGATGTTAAGTACCTTATCTCATGTATGATGGCCATTTATATGTCTTCTTTGGGGAAATGTCTATTAAGTTCCTTTGTTTATTTTTAACTATTTGGGTTTTTTTTCTATTGAGTTGTGTAAGTTTCTTATGTATTTTAGATAGTTATTTGTCATCAGATATGTGGTTGACAAACGTTTTCTTTCATTCCGTAGGTCTTCTCTTTGCTTTCTTGATCATTTCCTTTGTTGTGCCTTTTAAATTTGGTATCATCCCACTAGAGTATCTTTGGTTTTGTTCCCTTTACTTTTGGTGTCACTTCCAAAGCCAATGTCCAGATGTTTTCCCCCTAGGAATTTTATGGCTTCAAGCTTTATGTTTATCTTTAATCTATTTTTAGTTGATTTTCATTTAGGGTATAAAATATGGGTCCAATTTTTCATTTTTTTGTGTCTATATCCAGTTTTCCCAGCACCAGTTATGAACATTCCCCATTGTGTAATCCTGGCATTCTGGTCAAAGTTCAGTTGACTGTGTACAGATGGATTTATTTTTGGACTTTCTCTGTATATTAG